TGGCAGGATGCCACCCGAAAGACCCTCTCCTTTCCTGTCTCACCTGGCAGGATGCTACCTGAAAGACCCTCTCATTTCTTGTCTCACCACTGAAGTGAGAGGTTGGGAGAGTCTGGGAGCAAGTAAGAGAGGCTTAAAACCACGCTAACTATTCCACTAGCTCCACCAGGAAGCTCAACGATGGCGTGCTTTGGCATACTTCCTCTACACCCCAACACTGACTGGCCCAGAGCTCCTCAGTGCTATACCCTTTTCACCACCACTGCCAGCCTGACTCCTGAGCACATCCCCCAGACCAGGCATCTGTACACCATCAGGGGAAAACACACAGATGTGAGTATTTCTGGACACTACACTATGAAAAACAAATGGGAGGCTCTCAGCACTTCACCTGGCTTTGTGGGACTGCAAGAAGGTGGACAACCCAAGTTTAAATATCACGTTGTTTCCCTTATATGAGAAACCTTAGGGTAAACAAGAAGCAAAATGGAGGACAGATATTTGGAAGTAGGAAGCATATGCTCAAATGGGAAGGGGAACAAGGGAAGGGGGAAAGATCAAGGGAAGGAAGGGGAAAGGGGTTAAAAAATAAAGCATGGAATTGAAAAAATGGAAACAAATCTGTAAATGGGAAAAGGAAGAAAGATTAACGAAAAGGAAGCAGAATAGGAAAAAAGAATTATGATATATTCTGTACAGGTATAAATTCCCTATGATGAATGTGAGCACTACGTATGACAAATATACACAAATAAAGAAATTGAAAGAGAAAAGGTGTACAACCTTAAGGAAGCCCTTAAGCAGGAACAAGAGGTGCAGAGCAGCACATCCGTAAAAAAGCCTTAAAGAGCCTCAGAATTCCTGGCCAGGCTGACTCGCAAAAGCATTTCTCTCAAAACACTTCAGTGAAGTCTGGAGCATATAATTAATTCTTCAAATATTAGGGCAGCAATGTAAAACTTTAAGGAACATGGAAAATCAAGGAAATGTAATACTATAAAAGATTACAGTATTTCAATAGCCAATCTCAAAGAAATAGAGATCTATGAATGGCCTGAAAAAGAATACAAAATAACTGTTTTAAAGATGCTGAGTAAGTTATAGGAGAATACAGATCGACCACTCAATATCAGAAAAATAAGACATGAACAAATAATAACTTCAATAAAGAGTAAAAAATAATCAAAAGGAACCAAACTGATATTCTAGAGCTGAAGAATACAATAAATGAATGGAATAAAAATGTATGAAGTAGAAGAAGCTATTCTCAGAGGGAAAAAATTTTAAAATTGAAAAAATTCAAAGCAGAAAAAAGTTTTAAAAGAAAAAATGTGAAGAAAGTTAGGCTATCATTTACATTAGGGTAATTTCAAAAAGAAAAGAGAAGGAATAGAAAGTTCATTTAAACAAGGAACAGCTGAGAACTTCCCAAATCTGCAGAGAGAAAGGATGTCCAGGTACATGAAGATCAAAACTCTCCAAATGGGTTCAACCCAAAGAAGAAATTTGGGTAGGGGATAGTCAAACTATCAAAGAATACAGAAAATTTTGAAAGCAGCAAGAATAGAAGATCATCACATACAAGGCAGCCTCCCCAAACCACCAGCAGATCTCTCAGGCAAAAACTTATAAGACAAGAGAGAATAGGATGATATACTCAAAATGCTGAGAGATGGGCTGGGGATACAGCTCAGTGGTACAGTGCCTGCCTGGCAAGCACAAGGTCATGAGTTCAATTCCCAGTACCTGAAAAGAAAATGCTGAGAGGAAAAAAACTACCAAACAGAAATATCTGTCCAGAAAAACTGTCCCCTTCTAAAATTAATTTTCCAGACAAATAAATGCCAAGGGAGTTCATCAACACTAGCTCTGCCTTACAGGAAGCATCAGAGGAGTTCTTCAAACTGAAATAAAAGAATGGTAGTTAGTAACATGAAAACATGAAAGTAGAAAACTCACTGATAAAAATACTTAAGTAGACTATATAGTCAAATTCAGAATACTCTAGTGTATAATGGTCACATGTAAATCACTTATAACTTTAGTATATGATTAGAAGACAAAAGTACCAAAAATAACTATAGCTACAGTAATTTACTAGTGGACACACAACATAAGAAAATGTAAATTGTGACACCAAAAATAAAAATGTCAAGGGAGGAAATAAAGTGTTTTTGTCTGCACTGGAAGCTCAGTTTTTTCAGCTTTAGTAACCGCAGCATACTTTATGTAAATCCTATGGCAAACACAAACCGAACACCCACTCATCATTTTTAATGTTCTTGCTCTGTTTTGTTTATGTCTGTGATGTTGGCACTTTGCTATTGTTCTTTTTTTACTATTCTCTTTAAAATAAAAAAAGCAAAAACCTATTCACTACACAAAAGAAAGAGAGAAAGGAATCAAAGCCTATCACTACAGAAAATCAACACGATTCCCCTTTTATGAGAAATCCAAAACATAAATAAGGAAAAAATAAAGAGATAACAGGAAAGAGGGAGGTAGATCTATGCAAATGAAAAGGAGACTGAGAGATGAAGGGAATACAAACATGTACTAATAAAGTTAAAATTTTAAAAGAAAAGAAAATCAAATTGCGAAGGAAGACATTAAAAGAATAAAAGAACAAAAGATCTGCAAAGAAGCCAGAAAACAATGAACAAAATGGCAGTAAGTCTTTACTCATTAATTGCTATTTGAACCATAGCTAGATTAAATTCTCAAATTAGGGCTGGGGATATAGCTCAGTGGTGTAAGCACCTGCCTGGCAAGCACAAGGTCCTGAGTTCAATTCCTGGTTTTAAAAAAAAAAAAAATTCTCTCCAATTAAAAGACAGAGTAGACCACCGCGATTCCCAGCCGAAAAGCGCGCAAAGAGCCAGGTAGGCC